ATGTAGTTCTTAAAATAATTCCAACAGTAGATAAATAGTATTTTCCATTCTGTGCTTGGAAAAAAAAGTCAGTGAGATTATGTAAATTATTTAAAATCCCTCAGTTAGCTCAATAAAGCTAGGGTTAGAATCTGGATCTGATTCTAGAACCCGTATCATATATTCCACCACACTTGGAGAAAAATGCAATAAGTGCTTTTGTGTAGTTTCATATATGTGTCAATGAAATACTTTTTTTTTTGGAAGAAAGCCTTTGTGGTATCAGTAATTTTGTCTCCTGTCTAAGCATGAGAGTGGTGTGAGCTAGGAGGTTAACTTTCTAAGTCTTTAAAAAGAGATGTTAGAGGTCATGTACGTTAGATATTCACATGGCACATTATTACATCTCTAAATCAGTACTCTAAGTTCACTTTCATGAACCTGATTTGCCTTTTTTAGGCTCTTCTTTAAAGGGGTTACCCAAAACATGATTTTTCTGCATAAAGGTATTTTTCTTAGGATCCTATTAAAAGTATCCAGATAACGGCACCTTGATTTTTCACTAAACATCTTCCATGGTGGTACCAAAGTCACTTGTTTTCCTTTTGCAACTGTGTGCTTCTGTTTATAGCAGTAAGTGTTCATGCAAAGGTGAGAGAAGGTTCCCACTTGTTCCTGAATGATTAGAGAATAGAGAATTTATTAAGGGTTTAAGGGAGTTAGAAATAAGTTTACCAGTTATAAGACATTTGAATATGTCATTCTGTTAGACAATATTTTTTTACATTGTAGTCTAACTCTTGCAGGTAAAATAGAGTTTAGATCTGTGCTGTTCTGTAGGGTAGACATTAGCCACATGTGGCTATTTAAATGGAAAATAACATAAAATTGAAATTTAGTTCTTAAGGCACAGCAGCCACATTTCAAGTGTCTAATAGCTACATGTGGGTAGTAGCTAACATGTAGCAGATAAAGAATTTTTAAGTAATTGAAGAAAGGTCTGTTGTGCAGCATTGATCCTAGATGTTTCAGTTTCTTTTAGTCTTTGCTATTAACTTACAAAATGTTTTATAGCAGAGAAAAACTGAGAACAGAAATAAACAGTAATAGTACTTTCTATGCATAATTCTCATCATTTTATGCATTGATTTCTAATTTTTGTCCTTAACATTAGTGGTATTTGTGGAGAATATTTTAGTTTAATATATTAAATGGTATGCATTCTCTGCTCTAACCTTTAAATATTCGTAAAGATTGGTCTCAGACAAGTCAGATACTTAGTTTTGGATACAGCTGATTGCATGCTGGATATGGGCTTTGGACCAGAAATGGATAAGTTAATTTCCTGCCCAGGAATGCTACCAAAAGAACAGCGTCAAACCGTTATGTTTAGTGCAACTTTTCCAGAAGAAATTCAGAGGTAAAAGTTTTTTCTTCTTAAAAATGATTGTTATGTACAGAAATACTTTTATGGAAGGAAAAGCAATGTGAATATTCTATTTTTGAGATACTTGTTTGTTTTTATTTAAGATTTTTAAATAGGTAGTTTAAAATGTAGATGTATTCTAAAAAGCTTACCATATTTTTCTTTACCATATTTTCAGGACCTCCAAATATGTAGTTTAAAATGTAGATGTATTCTAAAAAGCTTACCATGTTTTGCTTTAATTCCTGGCTTTGCATTAGCATGAGATTTTATTTAAAATGTGTACTGTGTCTATAATAGCATGCACCTAGCTAGGATTAAATAAATGCTTAATAAATTCAGTTAATTTTTTTCACTAATGTTATTTTCTTTCAGCAAAGGAATTGTCTTAGTTTTCATTCATTCATTTTCTTCTTGCCTAGAATTACACATAAAAGACATTAGGAAATAGACATTTATAAACATAACCAATATAATTCAGCAGGGCAGAAAATGAGTATTGAGAGGATGCTAGAGGTCCTGGAGAAATAGATATTTGTTTTCCTTTCAGATGACTGTTTACTTAGCCCACTTTTTTACTAGAAAGGAAAGTCAAACAAAAAAACAGAAAAATAAGCACAGATTGTGGCTTGTGATAATAATCGAAAGCTTGTAAATGACTCAATTAGAATTTTATGTGTTGTTCCCTTGTAGGCTAGAAATGAAAATGTCAGCAACACATTAGTAGAACTTTCTAAATGTAGTTACTTTTATATTGATCTCTTCTCTTCAAACGAAAATTATAGAGCTTGGGAGAATTGGGCCTTTGGTAGAAAACTGACATACCAATCGTTGACAAATATTGAGTATCATAGTGTATACCGTGTTGTCTGGTGACTTCTGAGATTAGTATGACACATCGCTGCTAGCACGGTGAGTCTTCCGCCTGCGTGCTGCTCTCTTGGCTACAAGGAGTCTCAAGAGTGCGGACAGCAATGTTAGCTTGTGATTCAGTAAGACTCGAGCTGTTTTCTCTGGCAGAACTCTTCTGTCTTTGGGACTCAGGACCTCCAGATATGTAGAACCTAGAGTTGTAGGGGGATGGGAAACACAGATTTCTCATGTGGGTCACTGGGAATGGCGGTAAGTGGGCCACTCTTTCTTTCACTTCTTGGTTCCCAGACCCATGTTCCATGTAAAGATCTTTGATTCAAAGAGTTACTCTGCCTCGTTGCATGATACACAGTCCTCGTAAAGAATCACTCCAAGCTGGCCTGTTAGGTGTTCTTTAAGTGGCTTTCCAATTTTTGTCAAGCTGACAGCATCTAGGTATTGTGATATGACCTATGACCCCATGGTTAAAGGCCTGTTCCAGTGACTCCTTTGAGGTAAAGTGGCTTCCCTGGTCTGACAGACTCAGACACTGGTGCTGGCTGTTAATTTATTTTGCTAGATAGATGATTTGAAGAGTCTTCTTGTAAAGTTCAACAGAGCTCTTTACTGAGGAAAAAGTCTAAATCATAAGAAAGCATTCAGTTACTTGGCAGGGGTTTTTTTCTTAGTGCTTCATAAAGTGTAATTTCTTATATTTAAATGGTGTCATAAGTTTGAAATGAGATGTCCACATTCCCATTATCGTCTTTGGTGATTAATATTAGGTAACTGCCTACCTAAACAGTAGGTAATATTCCTGCTGCCTATCTACTTTTTGATTTCCCCTGAACTAGGGAAGTATTTGGATATTGCCCAGCCACAGTGACGAATGTGTACTGCCATCAGTCAGTAATACTTGCTGAGGACTTCTTATGAGCCTTATTGAATGGTCAACAAGGTAGAGTCCCAGATCTTGAATTGCTTATATTCCTGAGTTCCTGGAGACTCCTTTGCTTCACTGTCTGCTTTTGAACATTCCAAGTTCCCTGTTATTGGGTCTAAAGTCCCCTTTGCTCATTCTCCATGTTCACTGAACCATTGCAGCATCCATGTCTCTGGCTGGTACTTCGTCTTTAACACTTCCGAATGTATTACCTGTATATCCCTAATCTCTCTCTTGACTTCCAGGCTTTGGGAGTGTTTCTCCTTTTAGATGAATTATTAGTAACTCTTGTTCATTATGTCCGAAATTGAATGTGTTCAACTCTCCCTGTCCTTTATAGTTTTCCTTTTTTGTATGATGATCTTTTTTTTTAACTTTATATTAAGGTATGATTGATATACACTCTTATGAAGGTTTCACATTAAAAAATAATGTTGAACAAAAACCAATGTGGTTACTACATTTACCCATATTATCAAGTCCCCACCCATACCCCAAGGCGTTCCCTGTCCATCAGTGTAGTAAGATGCCACAGATTCACTATATGTTTGCGTCATGATCTTTATAAGCCAAAAACCTTTGAGTCACGTTGATTCTTCTCTCACACTACATTAACTCTCTGCCCTTCAAAAATAGTCAACTTGGAAGTAACCTCTACAGTATTCCAAATTTGTTAGTTCTTTCTGTGTTTCCTACCTTAATTTAGGTCCTTTTTAGTTCCCTTCTGCTTGTTTGCAGTTTTCTAACTTCTCTCCCTGATTCTAGCCTCACTTTTGCTTTGTAACTCCAAAATAAAGTCTGATCCTTTTAGACATTTAACAAAAATAAACCCTTCCAGGCAGAATAAAGCAGAGGAGATTATGCTCCCCAACTTCAAGACTTTATTGAATTCATTAATTATCAAGAGAAGTTGTAAGATGTTACCTCCAAGTCAAAGAAGAATTAAACAACAGACACACATGTGTGTGTGTGTAGGGTATCAGGACGGCCCAAATTAATTTACAAATAGATGCAAAAGTGGTCAAAATCCACAAAGCAATAATCAATTACATTTGAAGGGAAAAGTTCATTGGTATTTTTATTGGTAAGAATCATTTGCACTGCTATCAGCTGCATTAGAGGTATAGAAAAAAAGACAAAAGGTGCAGATAACCGTGAAGAGTGTGCTAGNTCATAGAGTTGTGGTTCATACTATTTTAGTCTTAATCGGCCTCCGCAGTAGAGTTGAAGGGAAAATAGGTGAGTTGTGTAATATAGCAGCTAATACGTGACTTAAACATTGTTTTAGAGGTAGACTTTAGCATCATATTAGCTTAAGGAAAACTGTAGCACTAAATTTCTCTTGCCAGATAAACTTCAATAAGGGTGATGTGGTAACAGTCCAAATGAATGATTTCCCAGTTTTTGTTCTTCTTGTGTTCCACCTCGGCATGCACTCTGAGTAATGATTGTGTCACTCTCCCAAAAGGATTCATTCAGAATAACTGATAAGTGCAGTGATTTCCTTAAGTTATACCTTCTTTTCCCTCTATAAATAAGGTAATGGTGTTGATGTATTTAGAAGTCATGGATCTGCTTTTTAAACCTAAGAACTAAAAAATACTTATCTGACATCTTGTATTGTATAATTGCATAAAGACCTATATGTTAAAAATCCAAGTTGTTTTGCTCTCTAATCTTAAATTTACCAGCAAGATGGAAGAAAAACCTAAAGGCCATAGGGCAGGAGGAATAAGTAGAAGGATAAAGGGAGAAGGATGATGCATTAGAAATCTGCAAATTATGCGATTTAACTTCTAGGCGGCATTTCTCTTGCCCATTTTGGCTCATATGATGAGTGCTGGAATAACTGCCAGTCGTTCTAAAGAGCTGCAGGAACCCGAGTGTATTATTGTAGCACCAACTCGAGAATTAATCAGGCAGATCTATTTGGAAGCCAGAAAATTTTCTTTTGGGTAAGTACATCAAGAATGCCACTCCGGAACAAGTTTTTCTTAAGAGATTTTTTTAAGCTTTTTTGGGAAGAACTCAGTAACACGTCACTCATGTAATTGGTATTGCTTGGTTGAAGTGTATTTTTTCATAATCTTTTTTATCAAATCCCTTATTTTTATTTCTAAGAAGAACCATGCTTATTATAAATTAAGTGATAATAGAAAAAGATAAGTAAATAGTGAACATAAAATTAAACATTTTAATGCATCTTTAAAAAATGAACTGCAGGTACTCCGAATAATACTCTCTATTCTTTTACAGATAACTTTAGAATATTAATAACAGCTTATTTCATAATCATACCTAATTTTTTAAGTGATTTTTAAGATTATTCATGTGTGTCTATTTTATTTCTCTATTTTGGGGCATTTGGGTTGTTTCAAATTTCGGGCTAGTATAAATAAAACTACAATGAATAGCTTGCTGTATAATGTTTTTTCTATTTTTATGTTTTAAGTATTAGGGTAGATTGTTATAAATTTAATATTAAAGAGTATGAGCTTCATTTAAAGCCTGAGCCAGTGTACTATCAGCAGAATATAAGAATGCCAACTTCACTGTACACTTTGCCAACATTTGGTATTGTATTAGGGTAATTTGTTAAGCAGCAATAGGTAATACCTATTTTTGTTCAAAAAAATAAATATTAAACAGTCTCTGAGTTCTAGGAATTGCACAACAGTTTAATGGGGGGATTCTGGCGTGGGTTCAAGAGGTTGCAGATGGGGCGTAAGGCAGGACTGCAGTCATGTGACTGGACGTCTCCATGAGGATGCCTGATTGTCCTTACAAAATGGCAACTGGCTTCCCTCAGATTGATCAGTGAGAGAGCAAAGAGGAGCTACAGGGGCCTTTATAAAATGGTCTCAATGACTTTGGCAATATTCTGTCCATCACTAAGCAAGTCGCTACGTCTGGCTCAGATTCAGGAGTGGTTGTGTGATTTGCTGAAACTAATTCAAAATGAATATGCAGGGTCTTTGGTTCAAAAATTACTATGAATTTTAAGATAGCAAACAGCACAGCATGAAACGAAGCTTAGGGATCTTCCAGCCTTGGGTCCCTTTGTGACTGCATAGGTTGCACACCTGTGAAGCCTGCTTTGCACATAGTTAAGGGGAAGGCAGTGAGGATCCATAGTTGAAGGAAGGAAGGATTTGTGTGCATATTTTACTTTATTTATTTTTTTCCAAGTGCATTTTTTTATTTTGATATCATTAATATACAGTCACATAACAACACTGTGGTGACTAGATTCCCCCCATTATCAAGTCCCCACCACATACCCCATTACAGTCACTGTCCATCAGCGTAGTAAGATGCTACAGAGTCACTACTTTGTCTTCTCTGTGCGATACTGCCTTCCCTGTGACCCCCATGTTATGTGTGCTAATCGGAATGCCCCTTACTCCCCTTCTCCCTCCCTTCCCACCCAGTCCCTTTCCCTTTGGTAACCGTTAGTCCATTCTTGGGTTCTGTGAGTCTGCTGCTGTATTTTTCCTTCAGTTTTTTCTTTGTTCTTTTACTCCACAAATGAGTGAAATCATTTGGTACTTGTCTTTCTCCGCCTTGCTTATTTCACTGCACATAATACCCTCTAGCTCCATCCATGTTGTTGCAAATGGTGGGATTTGTTTTCTTCTTAGGGCTGAATAATATTCCATTGTGCATATCGGAGGGTGTTTATTGCCGTGAGGGTCCTCCAAGCTTCACTGCCGCCCAGGGGGTTAGGGCGCCTAGAGTTCCCTAAGATTCCCAGCCGCTGGGCTAAGTGTCCCGGGACGCTTCCATCCAGTTGTGGGGTCCCTGTCCCTTTAAGACTTTAAAAAAGCACTCTCTTTTCTTTGTCCCAGGAGCACCAGCTGTAGGGACCTGCTCGCAGATTTTACTGTCCAGTTTCCCTAGTATCCAGCACCCCATGCAGTGTGTTTTTGCGCTCTGGTGCGGATGGCTGGGGCTGGGTGTTAGCAGTCCTGGGCTCCCTCTCCCTCCCCGCTCCGACTCCTCTCCTCCCGGCAGGAGCTGGGGTGAGGGTCGCTTGGGTCCCGCCGGGCCGTGGCTTGTATCTAACCCCCTTCGTGAGGCGCAGGGTTCTCGCAGGTGTAGATGTAGTCTGACTGTTGTCCTGTATCTTCTGGTCTCTCTTTTTGGAATAGTTCTATTTGTTGTATTTTCAAAAATATATATGTTTTTGGGAGGAGATTTCTGCTGCTCTACTCATGCTGCCATCTTGAGTTCCCCTAACCCTCAGTTCTTTAACTCTCCTTTTCAGAGTTACCCATGTTCAACAGTTTTCTATTAATTATCATAGAAATAACTGGTGTACATGTGTGCACTTTAATTTTCCTCTTAACAAATGGTAACATACTAAGTTGTTGTCACCCTATTCTTTACTATGCTGTGTGCTGGACATAATGCTTAATTTAGAACTGTTCCCCCTTTTAAGATGCACTATACCTTTTTTATAGGTGGACTGTAATTTTAAGTCTTCTGTTGTTAGACACTTAGTTTCAGCCTTTTTGATATGAACAGTAATGTTGGCAGTGAATACTATTGTACCGGTATCTTTGTCCATTTGGGGGACATATCTGAATGGTGAATTCCTACATATGAATTTACTGGGACTAGAGAAAGGTTTTATATTTTAATAGAACTAAAATTGTGAAAGAGATTGTATCAGTTTACCTTCTTGAGTGCCAATTTCTCTATACCATGGCCAACTTGATATTATTATACTTGAGGGAAAACATGTTAATCTTCATTTGTCTTCTCTTTTAAAGTAAGGTTGAACATAAAAAAAAGTTCAAAAACCATTTGTTTTTTTTATGGGCTATTTTTTATATTTCTGGCTATTTTTGGGGGCATAGTGGTAATGCTAATAATTGCTTTTGAAAAGCCTTATCAGATAGTTAGCAAAATTTTTCCGCAGTTATTTAATTTGTTTTTTGGTTTCTTCCTGGGAAGAATTTGATTTTTTTTTAGATAATTCTATGTATTAGGATTCTTTAGTTATTTCATTTCACATCTTGTTAGAAAAAAATGTCTAGTTTGCAAATAACCTGACAATGGCTTTTGTTTTTCCTATGAGTAGGACTTGTGTAAGAGCTGTTGCTGTATATGGGGGAACCCACTTTGGGCATTCAGTCCGTGAGATAGTGCAAGGCTGTAATATATTGTGTGCTACTCCTGGAAGACTGATGGATATCATAGGCAAAGGAAAGGTAGGCCCTAGAGGGAGAAAGTTGTGGGATTGATTAAAACATTTTTGTATGAGAAAGAGAAAGAAGGGCATAAAGGTGGATGTGTTTATTAGAGCACCATTTATATGTTAGGTTCCCATCAGATTCTTTGAATGTTTTCTTATGTAGTTCTTAAAATAATTCCAACAGTAGATAAATGGTATTTTCCATTTTCTACTTGGAAAAAAAATTCAGTGAGATCACGTAAATTATTTAAAATCCCTCAGTTAGCTCAATAAAGCTACAGTTAGAATCTGGATCTGAATCTAGAACCTATATACCCCACCACACTTGGAGAAAAATGCAATAAGTGCTTTTATGTAGTTTCATATATACGTCAATGAAATACTTTTTTACCTGTAAGGAAGCCTTTGTGCCATCAGTAATTTTGTCTCCTGTCTAAGCATGAGAGTGGTATGAACTAGGAAGTTAACTTTCTAAGTCTTTAAAAAGAGATGTTAGAGGCTATGTACATTAGATATTCACATGGCACATTATTACACCTCTAAATCAGTACTCTTAAGTTCACTTTCATGAACCTGATTTGCCTTTTTTAGGCTCCTCTTTAAAGGGGTTACTCAAAACATGATTTTTCTGCATAAAGGTATTTTTCTTAGGATCCTATTAAAAGTATTCAGATAACGGCACCTTGATTTTTCACTAAACATCTTCCATGGTGGTACCAAAGTCACTTGTTTTCCTTTTGCAAGTGTGTGCTTCTGTTTATAGCAGTAAGTGTTCATGCCACGGTGAGAGAAGTTTCCCACTTGTTCCTGAATGATTAGAGAATAGAGAATTTATTAAGGGTTTAAGGGAGTTAGAAATAAGTTTACCAGTTATAAGACATTTGAATATGTCATTCTGTTAGAAAATATTTTTTTACATTGTAGTCTAACTCTTGCAGGTAAAATAGAGTTTAGATCTGTGCTGTTCTGTAGGGTAGACATTAGCCACATGTGGCTATTTAAATGGAAAATAACATAAAATTGAAATTTAGTTCTTAAGGCACAGCAGCCACATTTCAAGTGTTTAATAGCTACATGTGGGCAGTAGCTAACACGTAGCAGATAAAGAATTTTTAAGTAATTGAAGAAAGGTCTGTTTGCAGCATTGATCCTAGATGTTTTGGTTTCTTTTAGTCTTTAACTTACAATATGTTTTATAGCAGAGAAAAACTGAGAACAGAAATAAACAGTAATAGTACTGTCTATGCATAATTCTCATCATTTTATGCATTGATTTCTAATTTTTGTCCTTAATATTAGTGGGAATTGTGGAGAATATTTTAGTTTAATATATTAAGTAGTATGCATTCTCTGCTCTAACCTTTAAATATTCCTATAGATTGGTCTTGGACAAGTCAGATACTTAGTTTTGGATGAAGCTGATCACATGCTGAATATGGGCTTTGGACCAGAAATGATAAAGTTAATTTCCTGCCCAGGAATGCCACCAAAGGAACAGCGTCAAACCGTTATGTTTAGTGCAACATTTCCAGGAGAATTTCAGAGGTAAAAGTTTTTTCTTCTTAAAAATGATTGTTATGTACAGAAATACTTTATGGAAGGAAAAGCAATGTGAATATTCTATTTTTGAGATACTTGATTTTTTTTATTTAAGATTTTTAAATAGGTAGTTTAAAAAGTAGATGTATTCTAAAAAGCTTACCATATTTTTCATTTTTTTGCTTTAATTCCTGGCTTTTCATTAGCATGAGATTTTATTTAAAATGTGTACTGTGTCTATAATAGCATGCACCTAGCTAGGATTAAATAAATGCTTAATAAATTCAGTTAATTTTTTTTCACTAATGTTATTTTCTTTCAGCAAAGGAATTGTCTTAGTTTTCATTCATTCATTTTCTTCTTTCTTGCCTAGAATTATACATAAAAGACGTTAGGAAATAGACATTTATAAACACAACCAATATAATTCAGCAGGGCAGAAATGAGTATTGACAGGATGCTAGAAGTACTGGAGAAATAGATATTTGTTTTCCTTTCAGATGACTGTTTACTTAGCCCACTTTTTTACTAGAAAGAAAAGTTAAACAAAAAAACAGAAGAATAAGCACAGATTGTGGCTTGTGATAATAATCGAAAGCTTGTAAATGACTCAATTAGTATTTTATGTGTTGTTCCCTTGTAGGCTAGAAATGAACATGTCAGCAACACTTTAGTAGAACTTTCTAAATGTAGTTACTTTTACATTGATATCTTCTCTTCAAACGAAAATTATAGAGCTTGGGAGAATTGGGCTTTGGTAGAAAACTGACAAGCCGAACGTTGACAAATATTGAGTATCATACTGTATACCGTGTTGTCTGGTGACTTCTGAGATTAGTATGACACATGGCTGCTAGCACGGTGAGTCTTCCGCCTGCCTGCTGCTCTCTTGGCTACAAGGAGTCTCAAGAGTGTGGACAGCAACGTTAGCTTGTGATTCAGTAAGACTCGAGCTGTTTTCTCTGGCAGAACTCTTCTGTCTTTGGGACTCAGGACCTCCAGATATGTAGAACCTAGAGTTGTAGGGGGATGGGAAACACAGATTTCTCATGTGGGTCACTGGGAATGGCGGTAAGTGGGCCACTCTTTCTTTCACTTCTTGGTTCCCAGACCCATGTTCCATGTAAAGATCTTTGATTCAAAGAGTTACTCTGCCTCGTTGCATGATTCACAGTCCTCGTAAAGAATCACTCCAAGCTGGTGTTCTTTAAGTGGCTTTCCAATTTTTGTCAAGCTGACAGCATCTAGGTATTGTGATATGACCTATGACCCCATGGTTAAAGGCCTGTTCCAGTGACTCCTTTGAGGTAAAGTGGCTTCCCTGGTCTGACAGACTCAGACACTGGTGCTGGCTGTTAATTTATTTTGCTAGATAGATGATTTGAAGAGTCTTCTTGTAAAGTTCAACAGAGCTCTTTACTGAGGAAAAAGTCTAAATCATAAGAAAGCATTCAGTTAC